AGAAAGATGGCCGCCGGGCCTCCACGTGGCTCCGGCGGCGTGATGTCACGGCATATTGGCCATGTGGAGGCCAGGCGGCCATCTTTCTTACTGGACGGTCAGTCCATTACCTGATGCTGCTTGAATTAAACTCTGCAATACCTAACGCTGCTTGATTTTAACTCTGTATCTATTTACTTATTTGGAATTTACAAATTTGTTTATAATAAATTATGCTCCTAAATACTACACAATGGGTACTCTTTATACTCTCCCTTGAGGAGCTATTTATCCATAGAGCCTGCCTGATCCAGCCATCCAAGATTCCAGACAAGGGAGTTCCTGTACACAGGCATCTGCACCTATTCAACCCTTAAAGGGACCTCTGGTCAGCTGGATCCTTATACTTCCCTGTGTGCTCCAGACACCACCACCTACCTAGAGGGGGAATTATCTCTGTCTCAGACCAGACCCATAAAGGAGTCCTCTACTGGCTCATATAATACGTATTTATATTACGCATCTGGTGAGTGCGCAATTTTACTACACTATTCGGAGCACCACCACTGGATTTTTTTACTGAGATTTTATATCTGCACAGACTGTCACCTTCATTTTAAGATATTGATCATCTAATTATTGCTATTTATTTATTGCTAACTGGACGAACGATCACTTTATTTCAAGTTATATAGCGCTGCACTTTATTCTATAAAAGAAAACACCAGATTTAAGGGTTGTCCCTAGAACAGGAATAGAGAGGAAATCTTCCAATGGGGACACTAGTTCTGGTGGCAAAAAGGGATTTGCTCTCCTTGGAGGGATTTCCTCTCACTTCCGGTTTTGCTCATAGGACAGGCAGTGAAGGGAAATCTTCTCAAGGGCACCCAAAATTGCAAAAAAAAAAAATGTCACTGGTAACTGGCCAGCAAACAAGGACTCAAAACTGATGACGATTTTGGCGCTTTTCTGATGTCACACAGTGGGAAGAATAACTTCAGTCCCTGTCACCATGTGCTGGGAGTGGGATGCTGCCGGTTGCATCCTTATCAGGCTTCCCAATTGCTTGGGAAAGCCTGATCAAGGCGGCAGTGGGAGGGAGGTGGTACCCCTCCACCACACGCAAAAGTAGTCCAGTGGCTGCTTAAGCTGGCCATACATTATACAATTTTCTTATTCAATTTCTTTTAGATTTACCTTCAACTATGTAGTGCCTGATTGCATACAAATGAAAAATGTTTAGGTTTGACCGAATATGATATGGTTTTGGTAAATCTAAAGGAAAACCGTACACAAAAAAATTTGCATAATGTATGGCCAGCCTTAGGAGCTCCAATTACTTTTACGTGAAAGAGAATCGCTGGGCCTAAACAATGATAACGGGATCATGGTTGTAGCCTCAACCATGATCCCGGTATAACCGCTTACCTACAAAGACAAGTATATGTACGGCAGTAAGGAGCAGTTAAAGCAGAACTCCAGCCAAACACTATAAGACAAAAAAAAAAAAAAAAAAAAAGCAGCTGCCACTGTAATTTACTCAACCCACTTCCTCTGAGCCTAGGTCATCCTGGAGCAGCCCTCAGCCTTTGAGAGGCAGCTGACTGATGACCTCATCTCTCCGTCACTCCGTGCTTTATACTTCTATCAGAATGTTGCTTGTCAGCTTAGGAACTGATTGGACTCCTTGTGCTGACTCCTTGTTCTTCATCTCATACTGGCCCTGCTGTACAGGGATTGCAAAGATATCCGGTCACATTCAGGTACTTACACGGCTTGTATTACACTTAACCGCTTGCCCGCCGCCCTATAGTAGAAGTACTGCTACGGGGCGGCAGGGCTGCGCAAAATAACATGTGTACGTGACTTTAATTTACCGGGTAGGGGCCTACCCGTGCCGCCATTGGCGGCTCGAGTTGCCAATCGCTGGGTCCCGGCCAGCTATTCCCCGCCGGCACTCGGTGATCGTCGGGGAAAGCTGAGAGGGGAGAGACCTGTGTGTAAACGACACAGATCTCTTCCCTGTCAGAAAGGACATGCTGCTTTGTATTTCCCCCCCTCCTAGATTGTAAGCTCGAAAGAGCAGGGCCCTCGATCCCCTCATGTTTTGCATTGTATTGCTATTGTTCTGTCACATGTTCTGTCCCCCTTTGTAATGTACAGCGCTGAGCGAACTATTGGCGCTTTATAAATACTGTATAATAATAATAATATTTCTCTGCACAGAAGAGAAATACAAAGCAGCATATCTTCAATGTAAAACACAGCACACAGTTAACCCTTTGTTCACCCCTCATGTTAAACCCTTCTTGCCTAGTGTCATTAGTACAGTGTCCGTGCTTTTTATTAGCACTGATCACTGTATTAGTGTCACTGGAGATGTCAGTGGCAGTTAGTCAGTCCCCCCCAGAGTCAGAATGTTCACCGTAGTCCTGCTATAAGTCACTGATCGCCGCCATTACTAGTATTACAAAAAAAAAAAAAATTTCAGTATATATATATATATATATATATATATATATATATATATATATGTCGCCGTTTGTAAACGCCATAACTTTAATGTAAGCTAATTAATTTACACGTATTGGAATTTTTTTTTCAGCAAAGACATGGAGCAGGATACATATTGGTCTAAATTTCATTTTTAAATTTTTTTTTTTACTGGATATGTTTTATAGCAAAAAGTCAAAAATATTGTTTTTTTTTCCCCAAAATTGAGTCTTTTTATGTTTATAGCGCAAGAAAAATTAAAAAAAAAAAAAAACGCACAGGTGATCAAATACCACAGAAATAAAGCTCTATTTGTGGGGAAAAAGGACATCCATTTCATTTATGTACATCATTGCATGACCGTGCAATTGTCAGTTAAAGTAACGTGTCACAAAAAAATATCCTGGTCAGGAAGGGGGGAAATCCTCTGGAGGGCAAGTGGTTAATAATGATTATAGAGCTGCATTCATTTTTGATCAACTTGTGTACAACCAGCCTGTTGTGTTTTGCCTGAATGATGATTGCCGCCGGCTAAATCCAGCAACACTAATCACTGTGTTCAGCCAGCAGAGAAGGTTCTCCACCAGCAGAACACAATAGCTCTGTGGGAGGGATTCCCCCACCAACACGGACTGTGTTGATGGGGGAATCAAGCAAATTTCTTTCCTTCCACCACCACAGGAATGGCCCACCTGAGCCACCTGGGATGAATTGTCCTTTAACGGTGGCAGTGCAGGGTTGGGTGGCCGTTTATAAATGGCCTTCCCATCCCTCTGCTTGTGCACGCTCCCTGGGAGCGTGCAGCACTGTGATCCAGTGCCCGCTGTGTCCCCCGGACACAGTGGATCACCGATCGTCGCACGGTACCTCTGTGCGAGGTCCCGATCACATGAAGAGTAGTAAGCAAGATGTCACTTTTCACATCATTGCTTACTACGTGTGAAATCTGTGAATGATCACAGAGGTCACATGGTACAGGGCTATTCACAACAGTGTTGTACCATGTGACAAGCTGTGACCAATCACAGCTCACACAGTAGTTCTCAATGGCTGCAAGAATGCAGCCAGAGAGAAGGAGAAATGATTGCTTTTACAGCCTTTATGGGTGTAAAAGCAATCAGTGAGAAAGAAAAAAAAAAAAAAACATCTTCATCACCCCCCACAAGCAGTACAGTGTCACCATGGTAACACTGCACTGCTAGGGTGACAGTATGTAAAAAAAAAATATATATATATAAAAAATTAAATAAAAATGTAAAAAAAGTTTAAAAATTATAATTTTTGGTTCTAAACTAATTTGGGTTATTTTTGTTTTTTACTAAAAAGATAGAATACATTTTGGCCAAGATTTATGATGAAATACTATTTATTTGCAAAATTTTATAAGAAAAACACTTTTTTTCAAAATTTTTGGACTTTTTCATTTATATAGCAAAAAAATAAAAATCCCAGTGGTGAATAAATACCACCAAAATAAAGCTTTATCTCGGTCTCAAAAAAAAGCAAATTGATATGGGTACAGTGTTGCATGACCACGCAATTGTCATTCAAAGTGTGATAGCGCTGAAAGCTGAAAATTGGCCTGGGCAGGAAGGGGGTGAAAGTGTCCGGACTGGAAGTGGTTAAACCCTCACCAGCCTAAATATATAAATGGCACTCACCGGCCTAAGTATAAAAGTGCAAATAGCGCTCACCGGCCTAAGTATAGTAGTACAAATGGCACTCACCGGCCTAAGTATAGTAGTACAAATGGCACTCACCGGCCTAAGTATAGTAGTACAAATGGCACTCACTCACCGGCCAAGTATAGTAGTACAAATGGCACTGACCGCCCTAACTATAGTAGTACAAATGGCACTCACCGGCCTAACTATAGTAGTACAAATGGCACTGACCGCCCTAACTATAGTAGTACAAATGGCACTCACCAGCCTAAGTATAGTAGTACAAATGGCACTCACCGGCCCAAGTATAGTAGTACAAATGGCACTCACCAGCCCAAGTATAGTAGTACAAATGGCACTCACCGCCTAAGTATAGTAGTACAAATGGCACTCACCAGGCCTAAGTATAGTAGTACAAATGGCACTCACCGGCCTAACTATAGTAGTACAAATGGCACTCACCGGCCCAAGTATAGTAGTACAAATGGCACTCACCAGCCCAAGTATAGTAGTACAAATGGCACTCACCAGCCCAAGTATAGTAGTACAAATGGCACTCACCAGCCCAAGTATAGTAGTACAAATGGCACTCACCGGCCCAAGTATAGTAGTACAAATGGCACTCACCGGCCTAAGTATAGTAGTACAAATGGCACTCACCGGCCCTAAGTATATGTATATAGAATGGCACTCACACGGCCTAAGTATAGTAGTATAAATGGCATTCACCGGCCTAAGTATAGTAGTATAAATGGCATTCCACCGGCCTAAGTATAGTAGTAGTATAAATGGCACTCACGGCCTAAGTATAGTAGTATAAATGGCACTCACCGGCCTAAGTATATTAGTATAAATGGCACTCACCGGCCACAGGGCTGGACAGGTTCTCCATGGGGCACTCGGCTTCCCAGCCATAGTACAGGCGCTTTCTTACTCTCTCGGTCAGCTGAGGGTGTCCAGGCAAAAAACTGCAGGAAAGCACATCACTGTTACAGACAGATCCAGATGTGTCTCATATATGCAGGAGAAATAAAGCAAAAAGTTGCCCTTTTCCGTAACCAATCACCAACTACTCAAAATGGCACCATAAGGCCGCCTTCATATGGGGCGTACTACAGTGTACAACCGTGTGAGAGCTCTGCTCACCCACATGGGGATGCACAGGTGTTCCTACGGGAGAAGAGGGGGGTGGTATATAAGGACAGTGGAAAGGGGGGGGATAAATATGGCCAATTCAGTATGGGGATATATATGGTCAGTGCAAAAGGGGGATAAATACGGTGAGTGGAGAGGAGGGGGGTGTAAATGGGATTTATGGGCAGGGAGGAAAAGGGAGTATAAACAGCCAGTGGGGGGGGGGGGGTATACACGGCCAGCGAAGGGGGGGTATACACGGCCAGCGGAGAAGGGGGGGGTATACACGGCCAGCGGAGAAGGGGGGGGTGGGTATACACGGCCAGCGGAGAAGGGGGGGGGTATACACGGCCAGCGGAGAAGGGGGGGGGGGGTATACACGGCCAGCGGAGAAGGGGGGGGGGGTATACACGGCCAGCGGAGAAGGGGGGGGGGTATACACGGCCAGCGGAAAAGGGGGGGGGTATACACGGCCAGCGGAAAAGGGGGGGGGGGTATACACGGCCAGCGGAAAAGGGGGGGGGTATACACGGCCAGCGGAGAAGGGGGGGGGTATACACGGCCAGCGGAGAAGGGGGGGGTATACACGGCCAGCGGAAAAAGGGGGGTATACACGGCCAGCGGAGAAAAGGGGGGGTATACACGGCCAGCGGAGAAGGGGGGGGTATACACGGCCAGCGGAGAAGGGGGGGGTATACACGGCCAGCGGAGAAGGGGGGGGTATACACGGCCAGCGGAGAAGGGGGGGGGGTGGGTATACACTGGCACGGCCAAGCGGAGAAGGGGGGGGGGGGTATACACACGGCCAGCGGAGAAGGGGGGGGGTATACACGGCCAGCGGAGAAGGGGGGGGGGTATACACGGCCAGCGGAGAAGGGGGGGGGGTATACACGGCCAGCGGAGAAGGGGGGGGTATACACGGCCAGCGGAGAAGGGGGGGGGTATACACGGCCAGCGGAGAAGGGGGGGGTATACACGGCCAGCGGAGAAGGGGGGGGGGGGTATACACGGCCAGCGGAGAAGGGGGGGGGTATACACGGCCAGCGGAGAAAGGGGGGGGGTATATACGGCCAGCGGAGAAGGGGGGGGGGTATACACGGCCAGCGGAGAAGGGGGGGGGGAGGTATACACGGCCAGCGGAGAAGGGGGGGGGAGGTATACACGGCCAGCGGAGAGAAGGGGGGGGGGGAGGTATACACGGCCAGCGGAGAAGGGGGGGGGGTATACACGGCCAGCGGAAGGGGGGGGAGGTATACACGGCCAGCGGAGAAGGGGGGGGGAGGTATACACGGCCAGCGGAGAAGGGGGGGGGGGAGGTATACACGGCCAGCGGAGAGAAGGGGGGGGGAGGTATATACGGCCAGCGGAGAAGAGAAGGGGGGGATGGTATATACGGCAAGCGGAGAAGGGTGGGGGGGGGGGGGAGGTGTATATACGGCCAGCGGAGAAGGGGGGGGGGGTGGGTATATACGACCAGCGGAGAGGAAGGGGGGGAGGTATATACGGCCAGCGGAGAAGGGGGGGGTATATACAAATAATGTTATTTTTAGGCCAGCGGAGAAGGGGGGGGAGGTAATATACGGCCCAGCGGAGAAGGGGTGGTGGTATTATACGGCCCAGCGGAGAAGGGGGGGAGGTATATACGGCCAGCGGAGAGAAGGGGGGGAGGTATATTAACGGCCAGCGGTTTTTTTGAGCCCTTCTAAAGGTGGGGGGGGGGAGATATATACGGCCAGCGGAGTGGGGGGGGGGGGGAGATATATACGGCCAGCGGCGAAGGTGGGGTGATTTATATACGGACAGTGGAGAGGGGGGGGGGAAGGTAAGGTATACGGGCCAGCGGAGAAGGGTGGGAATGGTATATACGGTGGAGGCGGGGGTTCAGGTATAAACGGCCCGGGGGGGGGGGGCAGGTATATACAGCCGGAGGGGGGAGGGGGGCGGGCGACGGGTATATACGGCCGGAGGGGGGGGAAAACGGAGGGTATATATACGGCCGGAGGGGGGGGGGGACGGGGGTAGTGGGGATGGGTATATACGGGCCGGAGGGGGGGGGGGGACGGGTATATACGGCCGGAGGGGGGGGGGGAGGGTATATACGGCGGAGGGAGGGGGGGGGGGGGCGGGTATATACGGCCGGAGGGGGGGGGCGGGTATATACGGCCGGTAGGGGGGGGGGGGAGAGAGGGGAGAGACAGGTATATTACGGCCGGAGGGGGGGGGACAGGTATATACGGTCGGAGGGGGTGGGGGGGGGGTGGGACGGGGGGACAGGTATATAACGGCCGGAGGGGGTGGGGACGGACAGGTATATACGGCCGGGGGGGGGGGGGGGACGACAGGTATATACGGCCCGGAGGGGTGGGGGGGGGGGGGGGACAGGTAAATATACGGCCTGTACGGGCGGGGACAGGTATATACGGCCCAAAATGTACAGAGGAGGGGGGGACAGGTATATACGGGCCTGTACAGAGGAGGGGGGGGACAGGTAAATACGGCCTGTACAGAGGAGGGGGGGACAGGTAAATACGGCCTGTACAGAGGAGGGGGGGACAGGTATTATATACGGCCTGTACAGAGGAGGGGGGGACAGGTATATACGGCCCTCTCTGTACAGAGGACGGGGGGGACAGGTATATACGGCCTGTACAGAGGTACGGGGGGGGGACAGGTATATACGGCCTGTTACAGAGGGGGGACGGGGGGGGGGGACAGGTATATACGGCCTGTACAGAGGACGGGGGGGACAGGTATATACGGCTGTACAGAGGACGGGGGGGACAGGTATATACGGCCTGTACAGAGGACGGGGGGGACAGGTATATACGGCCTGTACAGAGGAGGGGGGGGGACAGGTTACAGAGGAGGGGCGGGACAGGTATATACACGGCTGTACAGAGGAGGGGGGGACAGGTATATACGGGCATGTACAGAGGAGGGGGGGGTCTGTACAGAGGGTACAGAGTATATACGGTCTGTACAGAGGAGGGGGGGGGGACAGGTATATACGGCTGTACAGAGGAGGGGGGGGAAGGTATATACGGCCTGTACAGAGGGGAGGGGGGGGGGACAAGCATATACGGCCTGTACTAGAGGAGGGGGGGGGACAGGTTTATACGGCCTGTACAGAGGAGGGGGGGGGGGTGGGCGACAGGTATTATACGGCCTGTACAGAGGAGGGGGGGGGGGACAGGTATATACGGCCTGTACAGAGGAGGGGGGGGGGGGACAGGTATCTACGGCCTGTACCAGAGGTTTCGTTAGGGGGGGGGGGGGGACATGGTCATATAACGGCCTGCACGGGGGGGGGGGGACAGGTATATACGGCCGGCAGGGGGGGGGGGGGACAGGTATATACGGCCCTGGTGAGGGGGGGGGGGGGGGGGACAGGTATATACGGGCCGGAGGGGGGGGGGGGGGACAGGTATATACGGCCTGTAGCAGATATATACGGGGGGTGGGTTAATATTCGGCCTGTACAGAGGGGGGGTGGGCGGTCATATATACGGCCGAGTACAGGGAGGGGGGGACAGGTATATACAGGCCTGTACAGAGGAGGGGGGGGGTACAGGTATATACGGCCTGTACAGAGGTTGGGGGTTTACGGGTAAGAGGAGGGGGGACAGGTATTATACGGCCTGTACAGAGAGGGGGGGGGGGAAACAGGTATATACCGGCTGTACCAGGGTAACAGCGTATATACGGCTGGTACAGAGGGGGGGGGGGAACAGTATATAGACTGTACAGAGGGGGGTGGGGGGGGGAAACAGGTATATAGGCTGGGGTACA